CTGAGGCCGCGCGTGCCGGCCCGAGGCGGGCGGCCCTCGGTGCGCCGGGCCTCGGGGCCGGTCCCGCGAGTGAGTCAGCGCGGGGCGCTGTGTGACCTTGGCCCGGGCCGCCGTCTCTGGGCCGGGCGTCTCGGTCCACCGCGGCCACCCCGGCGCCCACCGGCGGCCGCTCTGCGGCCACCGGCCTTTCGCCCTTCCGCCACCGGGCACCTACCCCACGCCAACGTGGAGGCCGCCCGGCGCCCACCTTACGGCCGCCACCACCCTCTCTCACCTCCGCCCCGCGGCCACCCTGCGCTCCATTGATTCGGGCTGGCCCCGCCGGTTTCCAGACAGTGTGTCCTGGAGACGCTCTTAGCTTAGTTGTCCTCTTGCGTTTGCTGTGACTTTTGTGCTCTTTCGATCGCGAGGGAGCCTGCCTTGAGTCGAGTGATCAGGACTGGGGCCGAGCAGATGCAAGTTGTGCCTCGAGGACTGACACGCGCTGCCACACGCTCTGCCAGCAGCAGGGTCCCGGCGGTCGCGCCGAGAGGTGGCCCTGCCGCGCTCAGGTGCGTCCCTGGACAGTCGTGCTGGCTGCATCCTGCGCACCAGCAGGGCGAGGCCCGCTGTTCACAGGGGGGGCTTCCCAGGCCCACTCTTGGACCCGGCGCTCCTGGCCGCTTCTTCCTGGCCGGGCCTGGCCCCCCTCTCTGAGGGATTCTGGAAAAGGGCCGCTCTCAGCCCGTCCTCTTCCCTCGACTCGCTCCCTGGAAAGCCTCCGCGCAGACACTTGTGTTTGCTGTTTTAAAAACTTGAATCCCGTTGGTTGCCGGTAGTTTCCTTGGGAGTTCTCAGGGGTTTGTGTTCTTCAGTTGTTACAATCTATCAAAAGAGCTGATAGCAGATTGTTTTAGAGGTCAGCCACCGTGCTTTCTGGAGTTTTGCTCAGACCCTGTGTCCGGAAAGTTTTGATGCTGCTTTCACAGATGAGGCAAATCAGTGCAGAGTCGCTTCTCTTGGCCGGCATCCATAGTGGTCTTCGCTGGTAAGGGCAAAGGGTATGGGGATCAGGGTCTTGGGGAAATGGGCTCACAAAGCATTGAGGAAGTGTGGAAGGGCACGTTGCATGGGGCTTCCTGGGGCGCGTTAGTATCTGCCTGGCCCTGGCCCTGGTCCTGGTCCACAGTGGCCTCAGGTGGGGCAGAGGCAGCCCTTGGGAGGAACCACCCACCCCACCCCCAGGGCAGAGTTTGGTCCGGACTTTTGTAAATAGGGATCTTGTCTAACAATGAGAAGAAACGACTGCTAAGTGTTTTAGTGTTTTCTAGGAGTTAGTTGCTATTTATTTATTTATTTATTTATTTATTTTTAATTTTTTTTTTCAACATTTATTTATTTTTGGGACAGAGAGAGACAGAGCATGAACAGGGGAGGGGCAGAGAGAGGGAGACATAGAATCGGAAACAGGCTCCAGGCTCTGAGCCATCAGCCCAGAGCCCGACGCGGGGCTCGAACTCACGGACCGCGAGATCGTGACCTGGCTGAAGCCGGACGCTTAACCGACTGCGCCACCCAGGCGCCCCGAGTTAGTTGCTTTTTAAAAGACACTTTCGCTCCCGGCCATGGAAATGTAGTAGAAACCCAGGACTGCAGCTTTGAATTATCCTCAGTTGCTGGAGTCACAGCTCTAGCTGTGAGGGTCGGGCATCAGGCAGACCGTCTGGGATGCTCTCCTGACCCCTTGCTGGCCAGCGCCTGACCTGGCCCCTAACTAGGAGACCAGCCGTCCCTGTTTTCGCACCTGGCATCCTGCCTCCGAGGCACACCAGGAGGGCAGTTGTGCTGTGCGTTTCGAGGAACTATTCCCAGGGCTTCCCCAAGCCTTTCCTGTAGTCGGACGCCCTCCTGGGCGATCTCTCCGAGCATTCTGTGTCCCTACGGGACATTCACCACAGCCTGGGAGGAGTTACCTTCGTTCTCTGCCCTACAAACCGTGAGCTCCTTGTGGGCAGGTGGTGAGGCTGGCTGGCTTCTATCTCACAATCACTTACGAACAGAAGGTGTCCCTTACGTTTTTACTTAAGTTTTAAATGAGTAAAGTCAACGCGGCATTGGGTATTTGCAAAACCACTTGTTTTGCTTTCGTGATTGATAAATTTAGGAGGAGACGTTTAGCTCTTTTTTTCTAATTCTCTGTCATTCTTCCTGCAGGTTCCCCTTGAAGGACTCAAAGCGTCTGATCCAGTGGTTAAAAGCTGTTCAGAGGGACAACTGGACCCCCACCAAGTACTCTTTTCTCTGCAGTGAACATTTCACCAAAGACAGCTTCTCCAAGAGGCTGGAGGACCAGCATCGCCTGCTCAAGCCCACGGCCGTCCCCTCCATCTTCCACCTGCCTGAGAAGAAGAGGAGCACCGGAGGCCATGGCCGCACGAGGAGGAAGGACACCAGAAAGGCCTCGGGGGGCCTGAGGGGACACGCGAGCGGGGCGGACGGAAAAGGAGCTGCAGGTGCATCGTCGTCCTCAGGTGCAAACCCAATGGCCAAGCCCGGGGCCCGGAAGGTGAAGCAGGCCGCGCCGCAGGGTGAGACCGCCCCCGGGGCCGCCCAGGAAGCCGCCAGTCGGGAGCGGGCGCCGCAGGCCCCAGCAGGAACTCCGGCCGATGGCTCGGCCGCCGCCGCCGCCGCCAGCAGTCAGGGCGAAGCAGAGGCGTCTGCAGTAGACGCCGGCGGTGAGAGCGCCGCCGCGCCCGACGGAGGCCTGGTGGACAAGAGCGGCATTTCCGTGGATGACTTTACCCCGCCAGGGTCTGGGGCCTGCAAGTTCATTGGCTCACTTCATTCTTACAGTTTCTCCTCCAAGCACGCGCGAGAGAGGGCGTCTGTGCCCCGAGAGCCCGTTGACCGAAAGAGGCCGAAGAGGGACGTGGAGCCCGGCTGCAGCGGGACCAGCCTGGGGCCCGACAAGGGCTTGGCCCAGAGCCCCCCGAGTTCATCGCTCACGGCGACGCCTCAGAAGCCCTCCCAGAGCCCCTCCGCCCCTCCGACGGACGTCACCCCGAAGCCGGCGGCGGAAGCCGTGCAGAGCGAGCACAGTGACGCCAGCCCCATGTCCATCAACGAGGTCATCCTGTCGGCGTCGGGGGCCTGCAGGCTCATCGACTCGCTGCACTCCTACTGTTTCTCGTCCCGCCAGAACAAGAGCCAGGTGTGCTGCCTGCGGGAGCAGGTGGAGAAGAAGAACGGCGAGCTGAAGACCCTGCGGCAGCGCGTCAGCCGCTCCGACAGCCAGGTGCGCAAGCTGCAGGAGAAGCTGGACGAGCTGCGGAGAGCGAGCTTCCCCTACCTGAGCAGCCTGCTGCCCCTGAGCCGCGGTCAGTACCGGCCTCGCGGCCCCCGCGCCGCCCGGCCGTGGGAGGGGGTTCTCGCCGCGTGGCCGCCGGGCCCCGGGCACCCGCGCGTCTCGGGAGGAGGCCTCTATCGGAGCTGCCCTGGGAGACGGGGAGCCGGGTTAGGACCCTGCCTCGCGCCAGGGCACCCGAAGGGCGTCTGCGGCTCTGAGGGTTCGGCCAATGGGAAGGGAGGCCTGTGCCGTCTGCTGGGGGAGCCAGAACCCCCAGTGCGTGGCTTCCCACCGGCCGGGGGTGGGGGTGGGGCATCCGCTCCTGCACCCCTCACACGAACCACGGTTCCAGACGAGTTGACCTCTTGACGTGAGTGCAGTAGGCTCAGCAAGCTGTTGGAAAAGCGGTAGGAGACTCTTAAAATCGTGGGGAGTTTCTTTCCATTAGTGTTTTGAGGAATATCCTTGAAGTTAAATCGTTTTGAACGTCAATAGTTACTTTAGTGCGCCTGCTCGTCATTTCTTTCAAAATAAAAAACCTTAGGGGCGCCTGGGTGGCTCAGTCGGTTAAGCAGCCGACTTTGGCTCAGGTCATGATCTCACGGTCCATGAGTTCGAGCCCGGCGTCGGGCTCTGTGCTGACCACTCAGGGCCTGGGGCTGCTTCGGATTCTGTGTCTCCCTCTCTCTCTGCCCCTCCCCTGCTCACTCGCTCTCTCTCAAAAGTGAATAAACGTTAAAAAAAAAAATTTAAACATCTATTCAAGTAGAATATGTTCTGTCTTATAAAAATTAAGATGCTACGGAAATAAGGGGGCTTCAGAAGTGGTGAAAAATCCTATTTCTCACTTATCCCTGACTTCTGGTCCTTGTTAAAATTTCCTGTATGATATTTTAGATTATCGTCTGTGTTGTCACATACGTGTCTTTCAACCTATAGGTACAGGCAGGTTGGATATATATTTTGTAAGCTTCTCAGCTACGTTTCTACTTTTCACCTTACCTTTCTACTTAGTACTTGTAAAAAACTGCTTTCTAGATATTCTCTACATTTTGAGTGTTATGTACTTTACTTGTTAAGTATACATGGAAAACATTTTCCTACTTGTTGTTCATGTGATCTGGATCAATATTTGTCTTCCCGGGCGTAACGAACACTTCTTTGGGAAGAGGCTCCTAACGTGACGGGCTGGGACATCCTGGATCCCAGGGCAGCAGCCGCGCACAATATGAAACCAAAGCAAGAAAACAGCCCCATCCTGTGCAAAGTGCACGCTGGGGGAGGGACAGCCCCAGCTGAGGGTCACCGATGTGCTTACTGGTGGAGGTAGACCCGCTCACTACTTTATGGTACCTTCTCCTCCTGGCCAGCCTCCCAGGGGCCGTCACTGTTTCGGGTCTTTCCTTTGCTCCATTGAGCAAGGCCACCTTGTTTCCGCTTCATTAATCCTCACTTCTTTCTGCTTTCTCCACTGTTACTTGGTTTTCTTGGTGGTTCTGGCTCCTGGGGGGAAGAGGGTGTTTCCGGATGCCTGCAGGTGGAGGTGTGTCCGTCCCATTGGCCCGAGAGGATTTGTCTCGTGCAGCTCTCATCACTGGTCGTTTCTGAATAGTTTCTAATTTCAGTCTGTTTTCCCTCTTTGAGTTATTTAGAAGGGCGTTGACATTTTTCAAGTTGGGGGAGGGGAGCTAATTTTGTTGTAGGGTTTTTTTTTTTTTTTGGCGGTTTTAAATATTCCATTTCTCTCTTTCTTTCAAAATGTGTGTTTTTAATTCCAGCGTAGCTGACGTGCAGGGTTGCACGAGTTTCAGATGCACGGGGCAGTGGTTCCCTAATCGTGTACTTTCTCCACGCATCAGGACTAGTGTCCTGTCGATCCCCTCCCCGTTTCTCCCAGCCCTCAACCTCCTCCCCTTTTTTGTGATTATTTTTAAACTTTATTGTTTTAAGGTCATATTTGATTTTTGGCCCCTTTCAGGATTTCGTTGTGGCTTAATATGCAGCTTGTTGTCGTGACTGTTTCGCTGTGGTTTGAGAAGAATGTATCCTCCCCGCTTGTTGGTTCCATGGCTCTCTGTCTCACTGAGCCTCCGTCTGGCTTGTTAACAGGTCTGTGTCCTGACTCACCGAGTCCCTTATCTCGGGGACAGAAGGGTGACGTGCCCATCCTTCCTGGGCGTCTGCTTGGTGCTGCCACGCGTCCCGCGGCCCTGTGTGAGATGCCCAAGTGGTCCTGACTGTTACCACCACGGAATGCCCCTTTCTGTCCCAATTTGAGTATTCTTTACCTGCTTACCTTTGAAAGCTTTTTATATTCCTCTATCTTTTAGCTATATTTTAACCCAATCTGAGAGTGTTTGCATTTTTTTAATAAATTTGTTTAAACGTTTATTTATCTTTGAGAGAGAGGGAGGGAGAGTGCAAGTTGGGGAGGGGCAGAGAGCCACAGAATCTGGAGCAGCCTCCAGGCTCTGAGCTGTCAGCACAGAGCCTGACATGGGGCTCGAACCCACGAACCATGAGATCGTGCCCTGAGCTGACTGAGCCACCCAGGCAGCCTGTCTTTCCTTCCTTTAGAGTAATCCATTTATAATTGTGATTATTGATAAGTTGGAATCTGTGCCTGTCGTTTTATGTTTTAATTTGTTAGGCTTTTTCGTTTCTTTTTCTGTGCTTCTGGTGGATGTCTCTCAGCTTTCGAAGCTAACTGTTGAAGCCCATCTTCCTGTGGTGCTTAGAGCTTGGGCTGCTGGGTTCCACAGCCCAGCGCCTCCACGCTTCTGTCCCGTTCCCCTCCCCCACCCGCCCGGACTGTGTGTGTCCTGTACTCCCCTACTCAGGTCTCCTGTCTAGGGGCCTAGGGGCCGTAATGAGGTGCAAGCACACAGTTGGTGGGTCACTTCACTCACCACCGTTTGCTGTTTGCTTCCTTTCCAGAAAGAGTTAATGGTATTTTTGTAAGTCCTACCCTCGTAAGATTTTGAGAGGGGTTGAGTTTGAAATGCTGGTGCCAGGAAACCATCCATTCTCTCAGAGCTGCCCGTGTGTGCGTGTGCGTGCGTGTACGTGTGGTGTCAGGATGAGGTCAGGGGTATTTAAAGCCACGATTGAATGGGGTTTCCTGGAGAAGCTGTAGCTGGGGAAGGGGAAGGAGCCAGGCCCGGCCCGGGAGCCGGCTGTTTGCAGAGATGTGGCTGAAGAGGGCCAAAGAGGGCCCCGGAAAGGGAGAGTGAAAGAGGGAGCGTGGGGTCACGACAGCCCAGAGGGGAGATGAGGGTAAGCAGCTGGGCTGGACCCAGCTCTGATCAGAGTGGGGAAAGATGGCTGGGCTCAGCCACATGGGGTCACTGGTGACCGCGGTGTCCTTGGAGCAGTGGGAACACTGCTGGGTCGGTCTAGAGCGGGTGAAAGGCAGCACTGGGGCACTTTAAGAGGGTTGGCCGTGAAGGAGTGGACTGTGGGCAGAAACCCCGGGGAACGTGGCTCCAGGGGAGAGTTGTGTTTGTGAAGTGGGGGTCAGCAAGCAGGTGTCTGCGCTGCCCGTGGGTGGGATGGAGAGCAGGAGTCGTGGGGGCCAGGAAGGAGTGTGCTGGGCCCTGGGGAGGTGCCCGGAGAGGGGGCTGGTGGACAGGGTGTCCCAGCGCCTCTGCCCAGTGCTCCCTGGGGGGGTGGGGCTGGTCGCTGGTTGGCAGGGGAGGGGAGGGTGCGAGAGGTGTTGGGGGGCGGCAGTGGGAGGGACAGCGGGCACCCTGGCTTCGTCTCCAAGGAGACGTGCCTGGAGCCCCCCACTCAAAATGTCTTCTCTCTCAATGGTTTCCCTCCCAGGCTGTCGTGAGTTTGTTGGTCAACGAAGGAAACTTCTTAGGGATTTTATGTCGAAGAGGCATACGCGTGTTTATTCCGCCCAATGTCTTTAGCCAGGCAAGCCCTTTATTTTTGGGCAGATTACCTCCAGCGGGGCAGCTGGGCCAGGGGTCTGCAGGTTCTGGGTTCATAGCCCTCCAGGAGGCGGGTGCTGATTGGCCTTCTCACAGGGTGTCCACAGGGAGGACTTTCTCCCTCCTCCACCCGCCTCCCGCTGCTGTTTCTAGCCTCCAGGAGGACTTCTGTCAGCCCAGCTGTTTGTCCTCACCAGTTGGGAACTGACATCGATACATCGTTACCAGCCATCTTCCCATAGAGGTTTACTATCTTGTACTTGGATTTTTTCTTTTTTCTTTTTCTAATTTTGAGAGAGAAAGCAGGAGTCAGGGAGGGGCAGAGAGACGGGAAGAGAGAGAGAATCCCAAGCAGGCTCTGTACTGTCAGCACAGAGCCCGACACGGGGCCCAAATTCACAGACCATCAGATCATGGCCCGAGTGGGCCCTGAGCCGCCCAGACACCCCTTGGATTTTGACAAGTGGGTGCCCGTGGTGATCCCGTGCGGTGCCGCGCAGAAGAGTCGTGTCCCTCAGCATCCCTGCTCTTCTCGTGGTCACCCCTTCCCTTCCCAGCCCTGGCACCACCGGCCTTCCTGGTGTTTCTGTAGTGTGGGTTTTTCCAGAGTGTTCCGTGGTTGGAGTACACGGATGCCGTGGAGTCACAGGCACAGCTTTTTCAGGGTGGCCTCCCTCACTCAGCGGCACGTGTGCTTCAGGCTCCTCTCTGTGGCTCGGTAGCGCATCGTCTCACCTTTTTTTTTGCACTGACTTAGAATGTACACAACAAGGGCCACCTGGTGGCTCAGTGGCTCGAGCGTTGGACCCCTGACTTAGGCTCAGGTCGCGATGTCACAGCTGGGCTCCGCGCAGACCGCACAGAACCTGTTTGGGACTCTCTCTCTCCCTCTCTCTGCCCCTCACCTGCTTGTTCTCTCTCTCTCTCTCTCAAATAAATCAACTTAAAAATGCATATGTACAGAGCAGTGATTTACCACTTTTAGGTGTGGAGTTCAGGGGCGTTAAATGCGTTCTCCTGGTCGTGCAGCCACCACCATCCATCCCCCAGAACTCACGTTAATCTGAAGCTTGACATGTGTGAGAGCGTAACG